GTAGTCTCCAGCATATCCTTTGGCAGCCAGAATATTTTTCCTGAGAACGTCTCTATTTTTAAAACTTAAAAATAATACTAACTAGTTTTCTCAGAACATTTCTGGAACACAAGCATATTTACCGATTTTAAACTCAGGAGAGAAAATCCCGAGGCTCAGAATGATTGTACAGTGTGACCTAAAAAGTGTGTCTCATCTGGGAATCCTATAGCAACACAACAATTTTAGGGTGTTTCTTCAGTCCCAGATGGATCTGCATAACCATCACAGGTTAGGAAATTGCTTCTTAAAATGTGGCCGAAGACCACTGCGGGTACCACAGACTCTTTCAGGAGTCAGTGAGGTCAAAATTATTGATGATATTTGCAAAAAGTTAAAATAACGTCATCTTTATTATTTTTATTTGTAAAAAAATAAGTTTAATGAAAAACATTTTATGTTAATATCTAATTGGTTTAATTGTTATCTTACATGATTCAATAAATTATTCTACGAATGCACCAGTTTTAATCCTTTAGGATGGCAAGTTGATAAACATAACCCATTGAAACAAAAACTTTTTTGGTCCTCTATAATTTTTAAAAGCAGGAAGAGGCCCCAAGAGCAAAAAGTTTAAGAAACACTGGGTTGGATCGATGACAAATGGTGGAGATGAAATATGGAGGTTAGAGTTACATCTCTAGGCTATGAATGGTACAAGTGCCAGTTGAGAAAGATAAACTGAGCTCTCAAATTAGTGGGTGCTATTTAGGATTAGGATTAGTGGTTGGCAGCTTTTTAGAGGTACATTTTAACATTTTATGGCTCTGACTGGCAAAGTGGCTGAGATCACATCACCTGACTCCCACAAGAGGGAGAAGCATGTATTCATTTTGTCAGGGTGTTTTTTTTAATGCAGTAGACCTGTTTAGGACTTACATTGCAATTTTCATCTGTTTCCCAACTGTGTTGTCAGTTTGCCACAGTTGCAATCAAAGTGGGATTCTTTTAAAGCTACTATTTCAGATATTTGCAGAGCTGTAAAAGAATGACTAGCCAGGCCATTGGTGTTGACTTTAAAATGTTAAGCCCAGTTCTGCTTTGAATAGGATGGTTCACAACTGGTTATACTTGTTGAGGCTGTTGGGGATTCTGCTTGAGCAACATCTAGGCGACCATTCTCCTTTCCCAGTTTAATGGAAGAATCTCTGTCTTGTTAGCAATTCTAATTCCTTTTCTGATTTGTGTATGTGTGTGCAAGACAGAAATAAAGTGAATTTTCTAATATTTCCTTTCCCACCCTCTTTTAATTTGCATACAACATTGTTTTCATTTTGCTTAGTCACCATTAGGGCTCCAGGTAGTTTATAGTAAACAAAAACATATTGGAAAAACATGAGGAAATGCAGGACAGCAGGCCACTTTTAAAAAACCAACAAATTCTTTTTTCCCAATGTAAAGCAAGTCCAAAAATGTATTTTTTACACACCTTCATTTATAAACAGAAGGAACACTAGGAGATACCTCTGGTGAGGTATTCTTTCACTGCCCTATAGCAATTGATTCAAAAGTCCTGGTTTAAATGTAGCAATTATTGTTTCCTGTGACAGACACACACAAAAGTGGACCTAGTGGGTGGATCAAATGCTTTGTTGTAGGTTTTTAATGTTCTGTCTTCCTTCCAAAAATTCAAGGTGCTCCATGCAGTACTTTATCTCCCACCCACCTCTCCCGTTATTTCCTCTATAGCAATCCTGTTAGATATGTGAACTAAAAGACATCAAGCTGGCAGGAATAGCCAACACTCCAGAAGATAGGCTTAAGATACAGAAGGATCTTGACAGACTTGAACATTGGGCGCTATCTAACAAAATGAAATTCAATGGTGAAAAAAGTAAGGTTCTACATTTAGGCAACAAAAACCAAATGCACAGGTATAGTATAGGTGGTACCTTGCTCAATAGTAGTAACTGTGAGAGGGATCTCGGAGTCCTAGTGACAATCACTTAAATATGAGGGAGCAAGGTGCTGCAGCTGCCAAAAAAGCCAACACAGTGCTAGGCTTCATTAACAGAGGGATAAAATCAAGGTCACACGAAGTGTTAATATCACTTTATAATGCCTTGGTAATGCCACACTTGAATTACTGCATCCAGTTTTGGTCACCACAATGTAAAAAAGTTGTTGAGACTGTAAAAGGAGTACAGAGAAGAGAAACAAAGATGGTTAGGGGATTGGAAACTAAAACATAAGGAACAGTTACTGGAATTGTGTATGTCTAGTTTAATGAAAAGAAGGACTAGGAGTGACATGATAGTGTTCCAATATCTCAGGGGATGCCACAAAGAAGAGGGAGTCAAGCTATTTTCCAAGGCGCCTGAAGGCAGGACAAGAAGCAATGGATGGAAACTAATCAAGGAGAGAAGCAACCTAGAACTAAGGAGAAACCTCCTGACAGTTAGAACAATTAACCAGTGGAACAACCTGCCTCCAGAAGCAGTGAATGCTCCAACACTGGAAGTTTTTAAGAAGAGACTAGACAGCCATTTGTCTGTAATGGTATAGGGTTTCCTGCCTGAGCAGGGGGTTGGACTAGATGACCTCCAAGATCCTTTCCAACTTTATTATTATTGTTGTTGTTGTTATTGTTGTTGTACAATCCAAGTATGCAGAAATGTTTTGTTTGAGTATTAGTAAAGGCCCTGTAAAACTGGATATTTTAGTTTTGTTTGGATTTTATTCCTGGTATTTACAAGGCAAGTTCCCTAAAATATTCTTTTAGTGTTTCTCTTTTAAGCAGTCAAGAACAGGCAACTGCTTAAGAGCACGGATGTCAAACTCGATCACATCATGACATATCACAATATCTTTTGCCTTTGCGGAACTGGGGTGGGCGTGGCCTGTTTCTTATGCATTGGCCTGCGGGCTGCCAGTTTGATACCCCTGGCTTAGAGCAACCTTGTAACTGAAAGGTTTTGACATATAATTTTGCAGTTGCTGGTTAAGCTTACTCCTGAATTTTTTAAAACAACCCTGAGATTTCTATGATGGTGCCCTATCTTATTTAAATCATGACTTCACTGAGTGTTTCCATATGTGAGGCTTATGTTTACATTTCCTTAGAGTGTTCTGTATGAAGCATGCAAAAGTAAATTGAAACATTCAATTTCTTTTGTTGCTTCAATATCAGCAGTATTTAATTGCTCCAGAAATGCTGTAAGTGTTATTCAACATTGTTTTTTATAATCTTATGGTAATTAACTTGCTGCTTAGTGCTTTTTACAATTACATGTTTGAAAAGTGTTCAACACATCCACTCTAAAATGCTGATCATTTTCCAGTAATTGGGAACTAGCATTTCATTTTTTTTAGAAAAATGGTATAAGCAAACAATCCATTTTTTTAACAGTATCTGGACTAAAATAAGCAAGCAAAATTGTTGCATATGTAGCTTAGAAACTAGGCAAGTTCTTGATGAATGCTAATTTGTTATATTCTGTTCATTCCATTATCCCAAAACTATATTACAGTTTCCCCAACTTGGCAGTGTTCAGATGATTGGATATTTCCCCAATTTGGGGCAAGTACCCTTAGTAGGTAATTGAAAATTATGGTAGTTGTTATATAACATATCTGGAAGGTACCAGTTGGGTAAAGTTGGATTCTTCAAAATCCATATATAAATACCACTTTGTACCTTTTTACATCATTCCCTTGCTCTGTTTGTAAACAGATCCTAGAACTGATGCATGTTTGAAAACAAAAATAAAATCAGCTGAAAAGTGTCAACTTACGACCACAATGGAGCCCAAAATTTCTGTTGCTAGGTGAAACATTTGTTAAGTGAATTTTGCCGCATTTTACAACCTTTCTTGCCGCAGTTGCTAAATTAGTAACATGGTTGTTAAGTGAATTTGGTTTCTCCATTGACTTTGCTTGTCAGAAGATTGCAGAAGCTGATCACATGACTCCAAAGCGCTGCAAATGTCATAAATATGTTGCCAAGCATCTGAATTTTGATCACATGGCCATTGGGAGGTTGCAATAATTGTGTGAAAAATAGTCATCACTTTTTTTAGTGTCGTAATTTTGAATGGTCATTAAATGAACTGTTGTAAGTCGAGGACTACCTGTAATATATTTCAAGTAACTTTCTAGCTAGTAAATCTAAAACATTGGCTCTTACTAGGAGGTGAAGGTGATTGCAAAGAATCCATTCGGAATTGAATCATGGCTTGTTTTTTTCAGCAACAGGAGTTTAATTTTTGTTTAGATTCTTGAGAAAACAGCTTCTATGTGGAGATAGCTTTACATATTGCACTAAGGTAATGCATTGTGTGAACCCAGCGATGTGATCCAGATGATTATAAGACGGCAGCAAAGGAACATTCTGTATCTGTTTGTTGCCTTCTCATGGCCATCTGAATTTTTGCAGCACCTGTATTATGCAATCCTGCATGATGAATCTAGCTCATGTGTGCCCATGTGAACATCATCCGGGCATTCCTGTAAACTTCCACATAGAATTTGCTTGGGAGAGTTTTCAAGTCTGCTGCCTTTGAAGACCAGGGAGTGAGAAGACAGGCTTGTGACTGTGACACTCCAGGCCTTTTATATCTGGGACAGCAGAGAAAGAGAGTTCCGTAATATCCAGAGAAGTGGGAGGTCATTGCTTCTTGGAGGTCATTGTTGATAAATATTGAAAGACTACAGCTCTAGGAAATAAAGCTTGCCCTGCTGCCACCCTCAATCTGCTTCTATTCTGCGCAGATTTTTGCTTTTTTCTCTCCCTGTCCTATCTTAAAACCTAATCAGTTTCAGTTCTCCATTGGCTTAACGTATTTAAAAAGATTATAGTATGGTAGCTCTGTAAGTTAGATAATGCAATATAGCTTGGGTACTAACAATGCCCGATGACTAGAAGTGGCTTGTTGGAATGTTTTAGTGTCTGCTTTAAGCTTTTGGATTCTATCTGGAATGGACTTAGGAGGTAGGACTGAATATCACACAGTTGAAAAGTGAAAACTGCATGGCAAAAAATATATTAGACTGCTTTTAACATTTCTCAAGGAAACAAAAGCAGATTTGTTTGCTTATTTTAATTGCATGTGTGTGCACACAGACTCATGGACATGTGCTTAAACTCAAAACAGCTTTTTTTTTTTTTTTTGAGGCTCACCTTTTTCTTACTATCGTCAAATGACCGGTGTGTGGTGCTGTGTGCTTTTACTTTTGGAAATCCTGATGCATTGGAATGCCACTGTAGAGTTGAGAGAGCGAGCAAGAGAGAGAACGAGAGCGCCTAAAAGAGTCATAACCCTCTCTGGTTCTTGAAGGGTTAATTCTTCCTTACTTTGAGATTAGCTTGGCTGGCTGACCATTGGTGGCTTCTTTCAGTTGTCTCTTGCTCTGCCTGTCTCTTGGCAGTGGCTGCAATTTTGGGACTGTCTCCTCCCTCTCCCTCTATTAGCTATGATTGGTACAGCCCAAGCCGGCTCCGAGGGATTGTAGCTCAGACCGAGAGACTATTTCATATGAAATACTGGCCACAGTGACTGTAGCTTCCTCCTCTATCGCCCCAGGTATATCCTGGACATCTCTTGGCCCATGGTTAGATAGAAGACCATGGATGCCCCTTGATTAATTTCTCAGCTTCTTGGTTTCCAGGTGGAAAGAGCTGTCTAATGAGGTCCTGATATTGCCAGGTCTGTAAATGCTTGCAATTCTATTTTTCCCTTCCCATTTTTCCTATGGAGCCTAAATGACTTGAGCCAGTGAAGCTTTCCATTGGTCCGGAGTTAAGAGATGCTTGACAAGTCAGACTCTTTGCAAAATTGAAGTGACAATATCTGTGCAGTGGGTGGTGGAAATGCCTGTAAAGCTTTTGACAAAATAGGAAAAGTTGTTCATATTGCTGCTGGAAGTAAATGCCTGATAGTTATTGGAGAAATGGGCAAGTTCTCTCTCTGCTATTTAAGTATATTGGAGTTTATGCTGAGAAGGGGAATTTGTTTCAAAGAACTGGGAAGAGAGATTTTGGTAAATAAGAACCCAGGCTAGCAGTTCTACAAATTCATCATTCAAGGTGGTTCCATTTACCAACCTAGTTTGGGCAAATTTGTTTATCTCCTTCTGGAGAAGGTATGTGGGGGGGGGGACTTCAAGACATGGCTCTTAGAGTTGACCATAACTATTTTTGTACAGAATGCATTTTCTTTCTCTTTTCCATGCAGAAAACCCCATATAATTGAGACAACTAGTGGGGTCCTCTATGGTTTCTGAGTTAGAATCATCTCTTCCCAAAAAGTCAGTTGTTAATACCATGTTAGTTCTTTGTTTTGTGCTTAATTTTTGTTAGGATAGATTCTTCTTCCAAGTTGATTGCAATCTTCTGAGTAAACTTTAATGATGATGGCTTTTCTTGACTTTTTTTTTTGGCAACACAGCTAAGAAAAAAAATGCCTGTTTGATTTTCTAGTCAATTTCAAATTTGTCCTCTGTTTTTTCCCCCAGCTAACTTTTATAGCCAAAGCTACTTTTCTCCTCACTCTTAAAAAGTATTTTTGAGCCATTGTTCCAAAAGCAAGAAGAGCAAGGTATTACTGGCAAGATATCTGTCAGTGTTGTCTTTAAAAAAATAAAGATAGTTTGTTCTTGTACAGTTTAAGAATGTCTCATCCTTGGAATAGTGACATTTTGATTACAATAAAATTGTGTGGATAATACATAAAATTGAATGGAGCAGTAATAACAAAATCATGGCTTAGAGCCAGACATAACATTTGCTCACATAAAAATGGAAAGGGGGATGTTCAGTGGGGATGCTACCTGCTTTTTAATTCAAGAGCTTGTCTTGAGTTGGAGAATGGACTTGCTCTGTACAGCACAGAATGGCACTGCAACCTGAAATAAATGTCAACTCACAGAAAAAGAAGCTTCCATACAGGTACATCGTTTTGTACTTTCAGCATTTTTACTATCTTGCACTTCTTAGTGGATTATTTTTCAGTTAAATGAAAAGGTTACATTAGTAGGAAAATCTAAATAAACAATAGCAGTCTGGAAATGTATTTGAGAATTCTGTGTTCTGTGAATAAGACAGCATAGCTGTCAAGAAAGGTTTTATTCTTGGTCCTTATCTTATTATCAGTTGGGTTACAAGATTAATGATTCCTGATCTTGGAGAGAAATGAAAGTTCATAAGGAATGAGATGCTTGTGTCCCTTCCTATTTAACAAAAAACATGTTCAGATTTTAAATAGAAGAAAAAAATGTAAAAATAACCACCACCAGAACACTCCCTTGATTTTATGTCTTTTCAGAAATAATTGCTAACCACATTTAAATCCACATTTATTTATATATTTAAGGCATACAATTTAAAAATAGAATACTTTAATTTTTTCAGAATTATAGTCTTTAAGAAAATCTGTTTCAAGGAAGATCAAATATTACTCTGAAAAACCTTTTTACCTGGTAGTTCCTCACAAACAAATTGTAGCTCTCTAAACTGATAGAATATCCCTTTTTCTCCCACAGAGAAGCCAAAATAGTATTCTGTAGCAGAAGACTGGGAGAATAATATCATGCTCTTTCACTTCACAAAAAAAGTTTTTTTTATTTTTTAGGAAACACAACTCATCTGATGTGTGTGTGGGGGGGGGGTATGGGACAGCATGAAACAAGAAGAATGTATTTTTTTCATTTAAATCGGATGCAGTATCTCTCTGGATGTCACAATAATTTCTTGAGAAATCTCACAATTGTATCTCTATTAGCTACTTAGGATTTTCAAAAGAATGTCATGAGAAGCAGTGCAAGATGAATATAACAATTGATCTAGTATCTATAGTTAAAATCTTAGTGAAGGCATTTCTTCATAAAACAGGAAGTTGACACTGTACAATATGGTCAGCCTTCTCCAATTTAGTGCCTTCCACATGTATTAGGACCACAATTCCCAGATTTTCTAGCTAATGTGAATTTAAGAAGAGATGGTTCTTTCCCAAACTGGTGGGCTGCTGCAGCTCCTGGAATTCCCAGTCAACATGTTAATTGTCTAGAGCAGTTTTTCTCAACCGTGGCAACTTTAACATGGGTAGAATTCCAGAAATTCTGACAGTTGAAGTTCACCCATCTTAAAGTTGCCAAGGTTGGGAAATCCTGGTCTAGAGGACACCAGGGAGAGGAAGGCTGGAATTAATCATGCTGCAGATACAGCAGGAAGTAAAATTAGAATGCTATGTCTTCATTTCTCTAAGCTGTTTGAGGGCAAATATGTAGAGCAAGGTTTAAAAATCCCCCCCCCTCCATTTTTTTCTGCAAAATTACATGGGCGTAGCTCTGTTGGCAGTCTGGGCTTAGAATCAGTGCTTTTCAATTGGGAGACTGCTCGGCCAATGTGAAGCCTCAGCCCGAAGCTGCTGTGAATGGGGGCAGAATGGGAGAGGTGGGAAATCTGTGTTGCTCAGGCTGTCCTTGAAGCTCACAGGACCAGCTGTACTTGACTAGGCCCCTCATGAGATCAAGACAGATGCTGGCTTTGATAGAGCTGCCAAGCTTTCTCCTGATAATTGGCACAGCCCTTCCTCAGCCCTGCTGGTTTCTCTTAATGAATTGGCTATTTGCAGTGTACACAGAGATCATATTAGGGAAGCCATGTGACGGTCATTAATAAGGCATGATGGAGTTTATCTCTACTTGGCCTGTGCTTGGATCAAGAGTTAGAGGGGGAGGATTGGCCCCTGCAAATGTTTCTTCCTGCCATATACCTACTGTAATGCTTTGACTTAAGCTGGACTTAGGATCCTGGAATAATGCAAGGGCTATAATCAAAATTTGACAGATATGGTCATGGCTGCCTGGCCTGATATCTCCTGTGATCACCCACCCTGAAGTGAGGCTTGTGGGTTTATCGAATTCTCCTGTGTCTTCAGTGGACTCAGAAATGAATAAGCTCAGTGGCCAAACTAGTTGTTCCTGCATTGCCCTACTGTTCTGGGTCAGTGTGGTGCTAGCAAAACCTGTTCTGTGCTTTGGTAAGAGAGTAGGAATGGGGTTACTTGAAGCTCTGAGGAATAGGCTACTAATAGCAGTAGGGTTTAAGCTGTTTTAAAACAGAAAGCATGGAAAATCTGCCCGTTCAAAAATTATCTCATCTCAGCCACTGATCCGCAGCTGTTTCTAGGGTGCAGTCGAAACTTCCTGGTCCTATTTATTTATTTGTTTGTTTATTCTGTCGTATTTGTATAGCCACCTATCTCACACTTTATCAAAAAGGAAATCAATACATAAGAACAGTCACAGTGAAAACATAATTATAAAAAGGCACACAAACAAGAGAAGACAATATTAATCGCAGTAAGAGAGCCATTGCAAAATCTCCCTGGTCTGCTGGGACCCCCAGGCGTGATAACAGAGCCAGGTCTTGAGGGATTTGTGAAACGTAGAGAGGGATGGAGCTGACCTCATTTGCAGGAGAGAAAAGGGCAAGCTATTACTTTGCAGCTGGCTGAGACACTAAGGTAAGAATTCTAGTTAGCGTAGCTATGATTGTCGAAAAGGGAATAACTCTTATCTCATTCCAAAAACAATGTTTCTAGGAATATTATATATAAATAGGCATTGACAATCTGAGATTCTTCCTCTAGTTTTAAATACTCTGGAGGTTGCAACAAAATGCTTCATGTGAAGTGGTCACACGTCTGCTCCGTTTCTTTCCATGACAGTCTTGACCAGGGGTCCTCAACCTTGGCAACTTTAAGACTTATGGACTTCAACTCCCAGAATTCCTCAGCCAGCTGGCTGAGGAATTCTGGGAGTTGAAGTCCACAAGTCTTAAAGTTGCCAAAGTTGAGGACCCCTAGTCTTGATCATCATTACCAAACCCAGCATCCCCATTGCTACCTAAGATAGGAGCAGAGTCAAACAGAGGAGAGTCCAAGGACTGCTTGTTTTTTTAATGACTTGAAATGTCTAAGGCAGTGTTTCTCGACAATTTTAAGGCATGTGGACGTCAACTCCCAGAATTCCACAGCCAGCAATGGGAGTTGAAGTCCACATGCCTTAAAATTGTCAAGGTTGAGAAACGCTGGTCTAAGGAAAGAGGCAGGCAGGATCTCTGGGTTGGGATATGGAGCCTCCAAGCCACCAGGTTCAGTATCTGGCATCTCCAGGTAGAACTGAGAAAAAGGCTTTGTTCTAAGTCCCTGGAGCACAGACATCCTGGACGGACATTCGTTTCAGGTTGGGGATATGCATGACATTTTGTACGTTACTTTTTGCCCAAAAGTATCAATCAGGGCTAGGACAAAAACATAATTGAATTTATTGAAAAATGTTATTAAAATTACTTCAGTAAAGTTCTTTGAATATAATCACTCTACATGTGCTTAATGATTTTCCTTTCTGCTACATTAAAAATATTAGTTGACTGTAATATTTGGTGGGGATTTGGAATTCTAATCCAAGGATTTGTGGGGGGCACCAACAAATCTGGCATGGCTGGTCATTCATATTAGGTATTGTTAGTAGTAAGCTAGTGGTAAATTAGATTGAAGGTAACTTAATATCTGCTTTTGACTAAAAACATCGTTTCTATGTACACTAATTAATGCTTCCCTGTGGTTTAAGTAAACTGCATTTGGTATTGATTTTTGAGAGATTTATAGGAGTAACTTCAAGAGATAAATTGTTCCGTGCTACA